ATATAGGGTAGATATAATAAAAGAATGTGCGTAGAAATGGCAAGCTATTGTGTTGTGACTGGAGTGTTGAAAAGTCTAACATTAACTGAGTCTAAGAAGAGTAAGCACGCATATCAGTTCCACTAATTCTAGCATTTTTAGAACATTTTGTTGTTCTAAACAATGAACGAGTTATAAGAAAGCTGAAAAGTTCACAAGTAGAAACTTAATTATTCGGTTTAAAAAAAAAAATTTACTATTTTGAAAAGACGTCATACTGCAGGTAGTCTCGAAATTAGGTGTTGGCGAAAAGACCTGTGCCTAAATGTGTATGTTTTGCGTAAAAATACAATTAAATGGCCGCGATTGTTTAATAGCATATAACTACCTAAACTAAGACTCGACTGAACGGAAAACTCCCAAGTGGTTTACTGAGGATCGATTTGAGAATCGCGTCTGACTCAACAGGATTAAAGCAATTAGCCAAATAATGTAATAAAATTGTACTATACTATTACTTTATTAAGTTTTAAATTAATTTAAACATGTTCCTACTGGGAACTGTCAGATAATAAACTGTATTCTATTTTAAACAAACAGTAAAGGTAAGTGTTCAGGTGACGGAATGGGTTTGTAATTATACAACCTAGCTAACAAATTAGGTATGGGTGTTTGTTAACATTGAATATATATATATATCTATCTATCTGCAAATGATTTTAATAGGTAACGCACCTCGTTGGTAAACATAATCTCTTTAAAGTGCTGCTAAAGTACGCTATCTGCAAAAAAAAAAAAAGGAATTTTGGACTCATCGCAAACCAAACGGCATACAAATGTAAGGCCTTGGAAGACCAAATAGTGCGCCTTTAAAGACTTAAGAAATGCAAAAAGTGCAAACATTTTTAAAAAGACTAATCGTTGGCGCTGATCTGGCTGACTTCACTGGCAGTTGATATTTTCCTCTCCGAAATGATCGTCACTTGCTGTACCTAAAGCCCAGTTGTATCAACTTTGAGCTATTTTGGTTAACCTTCACGGCCTTTAAATCGAAACTCCTTTGAGAATCTTCCAATGTGTGACCCAGAAACATCTTTTGGATTTTTCAGGGCGAAGATTTTGGGCCAAAAAGTAAAATTTGTGACCTTTGTGAAGGTTCGCCTAGCGCGAAAATACTGAAGGATAGATGGTAATCTGCGTTCAAATTCCGAAAACGACGCACTGCTGTTTGCGATTCCGGCAGGTTCGTTGTTTTGATTTAGAAAAAAGCAGCCCTTTTCTGGTGGTGAAACCAGTAGTGGGCGAAGGTATGATAAATAGCCCGCCAGTATATTTTTTTCTATTTTCAATGCACCACCCTGCATATCTATATCTATATATATATATATAATGAGCAAGAAAATGTGGACACGCTAGAGGTGTGATAGCCCTAGCCTCTAGCCGATAGTCTTCCACCAAAGATATAACTTTTCCCGATTTGACGATCAAGGCCCACAGTGAGCCATAACTGTGAAAGCAATTAAACTACTAGACTCCATCATAATCGGCTAGCTGTCCGGCCAGTCAATTCCTTGCCGGGTTGTACACGTTACAAATGTAGAACGCCACTACGAAAGCTGCCGACTAGATCATCCACAGAAACAGATCGTTCTAGGTTCAAAACGGCGGCGCACGGTCGCGAAGACAATGGCTGTTAGAAGACGTCGTAGCAAGGATACTAGATTCTGCATTAACAAGGACATAATTGCACTGTAAGTGTTGCGTGGCTCGAATGATAGCAGAGTGTAGCGGCCAAGGAAATAAATAAACGGCTAGTAGTTCAGGTGCAATTAGGATATAAAAAGCTCTATCTATTACTGATATATACATTGTCAATTACCAACCAAGTACCTAGCCTATCACAATGTACACATGTGTTCCTGTCTATCATACATGTATATACAGGATGGCATATCCAATTTCAAACACACTTTGGCGGGCTATTTGATATAGCGAGCCATGTTTTCATTTGTAATTCCTAAGGAGTAAGAGGGAAAAAAAAAAAAAAAAAAGTTTTAGAACTGAACAGCGAACTTGTTATGATGGGATCGAAAATGATGCGTCATCTCTGAAATTTAGGCTCTCTCTAATGCAGTCTATTCAGACAGGGCTAAACTCCGAGAACATTACCTACCGCCCAGTCGACAATTTATGTAGCGAAAAGTCGAAACAAAAAGCAGACCGCTATATGCAACTATTTTCTGTGCAGAAGTTATCGGCCAGTTTACGGAGCAGAATAATAGTTACCAAACGGATCGTCTAGGGAGGCTCGAGCAGTTAGCCTTTTTGAAAATACTTTCTCAGCTATTTGTATTAAATGGATATTTTAAGTTATTGCATTGATAACATCTTTTACTTGTTCTCAATCCAAAATTTGAGATCTTTTCATATGTTAAGAAGGGTTATTTATTCATTCATTTATTGAGAAAAAATTATGCTGAGAGCGGTTTAGATTTCGAATTGAAGTAATCAAGGTGAATGATGGTTATATTAAATAAATCCTATTGTCAGAAATTACATTTTCTTTGTTTTACTATATAAAAACAACTTATAAGAGAATTTTTTTCCCTCGGTTCAAAATGTTCCATGCCGAATATACGTAACTCTTTAATTCGTTTTAAAGATAAATCATATTTTATTACCATTGCCTTAGATATAATGTCCATCTAGGTAACTCGAAATGTAAGAAAAGTCATTGGCCTGGTATTGAAGTGCTAATAGGCTTATACTGTAGTATGATTTATGATAGCGGTGTTTGGATCAAAAAACAGAAAATAGATTACTAATATTTGCTACCAACAGGTCCCCTCTAGCTTCACCACGTCTATTATACCACGTATTAGACGGCTGGAACTAAACGAAGCATGATCCGTCGAAGACTAGCGTTTGTCAAACAGTAGTTAATGTTAACACTAACACTGCACTGATCTGGCCAATCATGCCATCCCGATAATCTCTGGATCGCCTTTACAAAAGTTCTTGTAAAGTTATTGTTGTCAACGACAGGTGGAGTAAATGTACGGAATAAGTTCAATTGCAAAGGTTTCATAAAACTACACGTTCGGCAAAGATCACTCCGCGGAGACGGTGATTCGTGTTATAACTTAAAGAAGACGCCTCCATATTTTGAAAAATGTTGAAAAGCACTGTAGGAACTCTATCGTAGCAACATTATGAAACAAATACGTTTACGTGTGAACTCGATCTTCAGATCAGAATGACATTTTTATGTTCTTATTTTGAATTTGACTGTAGCAAGTGGAAAAAACTCGAATAATCTGTGTTTTGGTTTGAAAACAAGAATACTTAAAAATGGCGGGACATTTTTAAGACAGAAAATTAATTACGGTTTCATAACGTGTAGCCAAAAAGTCTATAAGCATATATTAAATGAAATCGAACGAAAGCCACGCTAGATATGTCACGTAAAAATATAGAACGCGTAAATCCCTTTCGACTTTATTTACCTGCTATGCTCCGCTTGAGCCGCGGTGATTCTCCTACCAAACATAGCAAATCCCGAAGCCGTAATTTTTTCATAGAACCTCTACAATATAATTGCAGCCATCAGATGAAAGTAAGTAGAACCTCAGACAAAATGGCATCGGCAAAAAGCCTTTTCTCTGCTTTTGGTTAACGTCGCTTTAATGAAATCAGCTGAAGAATTGTATACGTATAGCGCTCGTAAGGGAAACACGAAAAATCATGTTCATACGTATTTAATTGGCTAATATCTTTTGTTCTAGAACCGTGTACGATGATCCTTTCGATGTTCCTTGTCGTCTGTTTGTAAATTGTAGGCCTACGAACCTTTTTTCTCTTTCACTAGTTACTGCCTATGTGTTTCCTTTTTTTGTGCATTCAGATACATTTAATATATTTTTGTATATTATTACACGCAGTAAATTATACACAATGCGAAGAAAGCATAGAGTTCAGTTATAATCATAGAAGCATGACATCAGAATGAAAAGAGTAGTGGTCCGTTATACATTTTATAAAACGTTCTTGTTTAGTATCTGCTAAATATAAAAACAGTACAATAATAATCTCTCTTCTTTCTAGCCTAATTTGTTATTTCCGTAAGCGTAAATAGACCATTCCCAGTCGGATGGCCAATTCTGCGGAATGGCAGTAGTAAATATGCCATATATAGCGCGCTGTGAATATGAAATTTAGTTAAACGATACATCCTTTTTCAGAAATACGCTTACCTAAAGCGTTTTGTTAGACTTTTTCAATGTATGCATTAGATGCCGTAGGCTTCATAATAATAGCTCATGAGAAATTTCACTTCTCCTCTAGCTTCATCTTCTTTCGAGTGGTATGGTTGGGCGCCTCGACGCCCTTGCCTAATTGATTATCACCACTCTTCTTCTCGGTCGTTGGTCGCCCGATCTATATCCATAGGCGTATGCGTAACTACCTTAAAAGCTTTGTCATTTTCCCGTGGTTCCCCTGTAATCTTGCATGCTTCCACAATTTTTTTATTTCCAGATCTATCCCCCTATCTTTTTCAGCTCCTC